TTAAATTATTTGCACTCACAATGAAATTCGGCGCGTATCCAAACAAGTGAAAGCATTCCATAATCATGCCTAGACATAAACAAGGTAGCGGTCAAAGCATAGCAACCTACCGCCCCATCAGCCACACGCCTATGGCCGCGAGAGTGGTGAAAAGAATTGTTATTGAGAACTTGCTGGATTTTCTACTTAGTCGCAATCTTATCAATAGACTACAACACGGAGTTTTACCGTCTAAATCCTGTCAGTCTTGCCAATTTGAGTTTCTTAACCATGTGACTGCTCAGAGTGATGCTAAACAAGCACTAGTCATAATCTTCCTTGATATGAGCAAAGCTTTTGACAGAGTACCACACGCGGAATTATTAGTAAAGCTTGAATCCTACGGAATCTCTGACCGCCTGCTCTTATGGTTCCAACCTTATCTCTCATCTCGCAGGCAATCAGTAAAGGTGGACGAGTATATATCCCTTCCCAAACCAGTCACAAGTGGCGTTTTTCAGAGCAGCGTACCAGGCCCATTTTTATGCTTGCTATATATCAGTGGCGTTTTCCAGGTAATACAATATGGCAAGTCATATCTGTTCTCCGATGACATCAAAATAGTGTTCTCCATTCACCTATCAAACATGCAAGCCGGTCTTTCCCAGATTCAAAGTGACCATAGGGCTCTGGATGTTTGGTGCAACACTTGAAATCTGGTATCCTCACCGGCTAAATGCAACGTCCTCTCATACCGATGCATCTTTCCGCCCGAGACGTTAGCGCTTCAAGGCACTGCGCTTGTTAATAGCCCCACAGTTCGAGACCTAGGTGTACGTTACTCCAGTTCTCTGAACTTCGCAGAGCAAGTGAGCCATTGCTCAGCAAACGCACGCTCCCTCCTAAGCTACATATTCAAATCCATGGCACTGCAAGAATCTAGGCTTGTTCTATACAAATGCTGCTTCCAACCTCTGCTAGAATACTGCTCAATTGTGTTTACCAACTCCAGGAAATGCGACAGAGTAGCCATTGAAAAGGTTCAACGGTCGTTTACCAAACGTCTTCTGGGCCACTCTACCCTCAACTATCGCGGTCGGTGCATCGAACTCGTGCTAGAGCGTTTATGTCCGCGTTGGCTGAAAACGAATCTCATCTTCCTATATCAGCATATCAATAATCCTCTTTCGAACTCAATAACGCCCTTTCCATCATCGGCCAACATTTCGTACCCTCGTCGTAATGGACCGCACTCCATTATCCTGCCGAAAGCCCACAGTAATACGCGTGCAACCTTTTATCTCTACAGCTACCCGTATGTGTGGAACAGACTTCCGTACAATGTGCGGGCGTCTGCTAATGTAATGCAATTCCGTTCAGCACTCGATAAGTACCTCAGCGTCAGTCATGTTTCTACTCTTTTAAGCATTAACAGATTTGAAGACGAACTGTGGGAAACTTGACCTGACCACGTATATGAGTATTCCCATCTGACCTCACGCAACTCAAGTCCGCGCACAGCCACCCCTTAGTCTCTCCTTGTAGACCTTCATCCATTTATTACTTTTGCAACATCTGTGACATCTTCCGCTGCTTGAGTTTTGCCTCAGAGCTCCACCAGCAAGCCTTTTAGCTCACATTAACGTCACCATCTCACATTTGGCTTTTCGTATGATCTGTATTGCAACACTTCAATAGTAGTCTTGGCACCACTAGCTTCAGAGCATAATCCCAAACTTTGCTAGATTCCCTTTTCTACTGTGCCTCCCATTCTTAAACCTTTTGGACCAGTCCGGACCGTGAGGCTCCAAATGCCCATAGATCTTAATCCAGTGCCTCTTTTCTTTTGAACATCGGCTGCCATTGACCACGGTGCTCATTAATAAAAACAACAGCTTCAAGATAATTGTCTCCGTCTGTTTAATTAGCTGCATGCTTGATCCCTCCTACTGAAATTGAAATTTCCGGCCTCCGGTTGAGTTTGCCTCTCGGCTCCACTATCAAGCTTTTTAGCTCACAATAACGTCTCCCTCTCTCATTTGGCTCCTTTCTCGGTCCATATCGCAACTCTTCCATAGTGGTCTTAGTACCGCTAGCCCTAGCGCAAAATCCCGAGCTTTGCTAGCTTCCCTTCGCTACTGTGCCCCTCAACTTAAACCTTTTGGACCGGTCCGGTCTCTGAGGCTCCAAATGCCTTTTTTCTTCTGCGCATCGGCTGTTATTGACCAAGATGCTCATTGGTTGAACAAAAGCCCCAGCCTTGTTTCCGTCTGATTCATTGTCTTTATGCTTAGTCCTAAACTGACATTTCCGGCCTCTGATTGAGTTTTGCCTCTCGGCTCCACCAGTAAGCATTGTAGCTCACATTAACATCTTTTCTGTCTTCTTTTCGCTACTGTGCCTTTCATCACAATTCTTTTGATCTAGTCCTTTCTCGGAGGATCCAAATGTTCATACCTCTCATACCAATGCTTCTCTTATTTTGCGTATCTGCTGCCACTGACTAATGTTCGCACTGGTAATAGTGGCAGCCTCAGGTTACTTGTCTCCGTCTGATTCACTATCTGTATGCTTGTTCCCTAATATCGAATTTGAAATTTCCGGTCTCTGGCTGAGATTTGCCCCTCGGCTCCACTACCAAGTTATTTCGCTCACATTAACGGCTCTCTCTCATTTGGCATCTGCTTCGGTCCTTATAGCAACACTTATCTCTACAGCTGTCGCAAGTACTTCTGTCTGTTCCCACTCTTGTATTCAACACCGTACACCTACAGAGCCTAATAAAGCGTGCCGCTCCTGTATACTAATTACTCAGGCTGTGGGCAACTCAATAACCAGCATTCTATCTGATTTTAACGTTACACGATGTATGTCCACCTAAGAGTGGCACACCTAGCACCTTTTGGGGCTGCTGCTCACACTACTGATACAACTGGTCCCTTTCTGCGCTGGCTCTACAACCACTTTCTCGCTACAGCCGTAGCCTTCAAGCCATTCTTGCTCCTGTTTTAACTTTGAATGCCTATCAGCGGGAAGGCTCTTCCTCATAATTAACTCGACACCCAGTATCGCCCCTTTCTGCCGTATAGTTGACGTGTTTGCCTCACTGTAGAAGTCCCTGTCTTTTTCAGCTATTACAAGCCCTTCAGAGCTGGCTTTGCAAACGTATGCTCGCGACAGCTGTGGCATATAAAACCCATTCTCATCATAACTTTGACACTCCGTCCCACTCCTTCACTCAGCTGGTTATTTAGCATCCGATTACTTAACACGTTTCAGCGTTATTTTCCTGGGGCTCGAACCCTGCGTAGCAATTCCACTGGCTCTCATACGTGTTAGAACGATAAGCTCTACCATTGTCAACCGATCGCTCAACCTATACCTTAAGTGAATATTAAACAACGTACTATGCTCTGCTGTTTCCTTTAACTTATTTACGGGTTAACAACGCCTGATATTTCCCGGGTTCCACACAGGACGACTTTTGAGTCCGTTAGGTCGCTTCGGACAGTATTTGCCTCGCGCCTTCAGCAAATATCGGGTCTTGTGTTTGCACGTAAAACTACGGATAGGATGTACAACATATTCGGTCATGCCACTGCTTGTAACCAGCACAACGTTACCACAAATTTTAAATTTATACATTAACATAGTCCTATTCCACTTCTTTGGTAGTTTGCTCTGTCCGTTTTTCTTTTCTCCCTTGTTCTAAAGGAGAACATTACTGGCACGGTACACCTGAGGACATACCTGCGAAGCTCACCTGGACACGGCATCAACACAGAACAAAGAAATCACCTGCACCTCGCAATCCTGACCAACTAAAGGAACCCATATAACGAATCAAATCAATACAAGTCGCCTGAATCATCCGAATTGGCAGCTCCAACGACTTGCGGTCGACTCCGAAGGAGGCCACACACCAGTTCAGTTCAGATGGGAAACACATTTGTGAAACTTGACTGCGAATAGCCGCGAGGGTAATCGGTCGGATGCAATCTTTTCGATATCATATCACCAGTCGGCAGTGTTCCAGGAAGTGCTGGGTCTTCGTCTGGCAGGCGTTTTCCTACAAAAAGCCACAAATGTCTGTTTAACAACACTGGGACGTGGCAGATGTGACTCGCCACTCAATAAAGTCACGGCCCAAATCTCACGTTAGCAAGTTGACAGATACCACATTTACAAATTCTGTGAATAAATCTGTTTTCGTAAGAACACGCCAACATATTTGATCAGTTACATGCCATTATCCTTAAATATTCCTGCAGTTCTTTCCTCATGCTTCACTCACTTGACCCGCAGTGTGTACACAACCTCATCGGACCAGCTCCTCATCAACATACTCCACATTTGTGATCTGATTGCTTATCTCTACATCTCGCATTCTGTGGTCATAGACTTTGTACAACCTATGGGCCGTATGGGCCCACACTACTGACTCCATGTTTACTACTCCCGCTCTCGGTGCTTCTAAGCATGCTATCATGTATAACGTTGCATATATGCTGATCATGCCCAAAAGGCGTGCCTCGCTTTGTCGAGAATAAACTAGTTATTTATTTATTTCTAAATTTAATAGCCATTATTTGTTCAAAATACCTGTCCTTACGTTTATATTTCATTATTAAACACAACACAAAACTTACACCTTCGGATTGGTGTTTGTTTATATTTAGGTAATGAAGGTCATTTTTGCAATTCCATTGTAGAGGAAAATCGAAACGGTTTCTGGCGCGCGTTCAAATTTAAATCGTTGAAATAGCGGCACTCACCCCCGTTTGCCTTTCAGAGCGCCTTTCCTGCTCAATTACCGGAGGAGAACAAGAACCCAACGACATTGGTTAACTGTAACCTTCTTTGTTCCAATTTACCTCATGTTTATTACCCTTTGTAGAGGATACGTCCTTCGTTCTTCGTTCTCAACCCTTGGAGTTCTTCCGTGTTTGCGTGTTACAAAAGTGGCGACCCTGCCAACTCACAAGAATCAGGAATCAACCATCATTTATCTAATTAAGATCATGCCAAAATTAAACGACAAATCTGATGACGAAGGCCTTTCTGATGTCGTTGACCTCAATACCGGACTTTCTGCCTCACTGGATGTTCTGTCTCGTGCTTTGGAAAAATTGTCAACAGGCTCGTGTTCGTCAGTCTGCATGCATGCAATCTCTCCTCCGGAACATTACACTCCCGGGATGACGTACTCCAGATGGGAGAAGAAAGTCCAGCATTACCTCCGTCAGCTCTCAGTCAACCAACATTTAGGCGCGCTCGCCGGCCTGTTGTCAGCGGATGCTTTTGATATTGTTGCTGCTAGTAACATTCTGGAGACGTTCTCTGCCTTGCGCCGCCTACTGGATTCTCCTGCTTTACCTGCACCCCTGCGAAGAGAATTCCACTCCCGATACGTGCGCGAACTTCGAAAGATGGCCGACCTCGCATACGAGCGCGCGTCATCAGGAGAGCGTGATAAACGAATACTAGAAAAACTTCTAGAGGGAATCCCAACATCATCCATTAAACGTGAATTCCTTCCTCACTCCCCCCCGAGGAGTTGGATGCAGCCTTACGGATTGGCGAACAACTGGAGCAGGTCGACAGAGCAATAGCTACGCCGACTTTTGGGTGTTTCGCGTTGAGGGGAACCGGACGCCCCAGAAGTGCGTCAACGGAACGGTTTACGTGGCAGCCTAACTATCGTCAAAGCTATTCAGGCTCACGGTGACCAACGCAATCTGATTCTCCATGGCCCCGCCAGCAAATACCGAACCGCGGATTATCTCGCTACAATTACGGACGCCCAGGTGGATGGCACCGATTGCATTCACACTTTATATCAGCCATTGTTTGTGCATCGACCACACAATCAGCATTAACAATAGAAGTACAGATCGCAGGTGTACCGTTAATAGGTCTCATCGACATAGGCGCATGTAAGAGCCTAATCAGATCTTACGACTAACCAGCTAACCGATCGCGTATTCGCGCCTTGTCGCTGCCGACTAACTACCGCCAATGGAGAATTGTTGTCTGTTGGAGGATCCTTAACCGCACAAGTTGACGTCGCGAAACAGAGCTTCATCCAGCAGTTTATTGTTGCGGACAAAATTCCGTTTGCTGTTATTATTGGGATGGACCTGTTGCGCCGGTTGAAGTGTCGATGGGATCTGGACAGGTGCCAACTAAGCACTGATAACTGTACAGCACTGTTAAGACCCTGTGAAAGTAGTGCTTTGGAAGCTTCTACAACCTATGAGGACAACTTAGACAGCGAGAAATACATTGACGCTTTTATTCGCCCACTCGACCGAGTCACCGATGAGCAGACACTGAAGCTGTTCAAAGACGTGTTGCGCAACCACTCAGACGCATTTGCTTGGCGAAGTCCCGAGTTGGGTCGAACCAAACTCGTGTAACACCGTACCGACACCGGTGATGCAATCCCGATTAAAATTCCAGCAAGACGAATACCATTACATTGGCAGACTGAATTGTAGAAGCTTATAGATGAGATGCTAGAAAAGAAGGTAATACGGCCCTCCACTTCACCATGGACAGCCCTGGTTGTTCTAGTGAAGAAAAAGGCTGGTGGTTTTCGCCTATGTGTCGACTATAGACGATTAAATGAGATTACCCGGAAAGACGCTTTTCCCCTACCCAGGAACGAGGATCTATTTGACGCATTGGGAGGATCAGTTTATTTCAGTACCCTAGATTTGGCTTCCGGCTACTGGCAAGTAGAAGTGGAGGAAAGCAACAAACAAAAACGGCGTTTGTAGTACTAGCAGGTTTTTATGAGTTCCAGACCACGTCTCTTGGCCTCTCTAACGCCCATGCGGCTTTTCCACGCCTGACGCAAAAAGTGTTACATGAATTGATGCCCCACAAGTGTCTCGTTTACCTGAACGATGTCATAGTACACGGAAAACCCAAAGCTAAGTACCTAAACAACTTGGCGGAGGTGCCAACGCGTCTAGTAAATGTGGGCCACAAACTCCATCCAGCAAAAGGCCATTTACTACAGAAAGAGGTAACGTATCTTGGGCACATCATTTCGGGGACGGGGATTCGAACTGACCCTTGTAGGACGGAGAAAGTGAGATTATGGCCAACCCCTGCCAACGTTGATGAGCTACGCAGTTTTTACGGTTAGCCACCTACTATCGGCGATTCGTGGAAGGGTTCTCAGAGATCGCTGCGCCTTTGAATATTTTGTTACAGAAAGGTCAATCCTTCGAACGGACGGTCGAGTGTCGAAATTCCTTCGATCGGTTACGAGAATCCCACTGCGCAGCTCCGGTGTTGGTTTTCCCCGACCTGTCACCAAAAGAGTATATTCTAGACACGGACGCGAGCGACCAGGCGATTGGAGCTATTTTGTCGCGGAAAGGGCAGGACGGAATAGAACGAGTGGTGTCCTACAGCAGTAAGGGTCTCACTGCAAGTGAACGGAACTACTGCACAACCAGGAAGGAAATGCTAACCCTAGTATTCTGTATACAACAAAACCGACACTACCTATAAGGAAGGAAGTTTCTGGTGCGAACAGATCATCGGTGACTTCCTTGGTTACAGAACTTCAGAGACCCCGAGAGACAGATCACCAGATGGCAGGAACAACTTCAGGAGTATGATGCTGCGTGCCGACACTGACCTTGTGCGCAGCATGCCAACGCGGACGCCCCTCCAGACTTCCTACTCGTGCTCATGGAGACTGCCCATCTTGTAGTACACACGTAGCTCTAGTTAACCTTCAAAGTTCGGAGTACGGTTGTTGGCAGGAGGCACAGGCAACGGACCCAGACGTGTCACCGATCTATGACAAACGACGATTGGGGAGCGACAAACCTACCGCAAAGCAAATGGAAGGAAAAAGTTAAGATGCTCGATGATTATGGGCGATGTGGGACAAGCTCTCCATCGAGGAAGGTGTGCTAGTGTTTGATTTTGGCCCAAACTATATCAGGAGAATCGTAGTTCCGCGACCATTAGTTTCCGAAGTGTTATCTGAACTGCACGAACGGCTGGGTCATGCTGGAATCAACAAAATTGAAGCTGCCGCAAGTCAACGCTTTTGGTGGTCACAGCAACGGAGAGACGTCACTAACTTTTGCCAGACGTGTGAGACATGCGCCACATTCAAGAACCCGATCATCACCCGGAGAGCACCATTGCAGCCTATGAATGCAGGCCACCCGAACGACATTGTGGGGGTAGATCTTATTTGTCCACTACCAGAAACATCACGTGGGCATCGGTACACCTTGGTCATGGTCGACTATTTCACTAAGTGGTGCGAAGCAGTTCCGATCGCCCAAGCCGATACAGTCACCGTAACAACGGCGATGGTGAATCACTGGGAGCGTCACTGCTGAGCACCGAGGCAGCTACACACTGATAGGCGCTCATGTTTCGAAAGTTTGTTGGTGCAGGAACTTTGTCGTGTGTTCGGTATAGACAGACGCGAACGACGGCTTACCACCCGCAAGGCAACGGACAAGTTGAGCGTACAAATCGGTCACTGAAATGGCTACTGGAGGCCTTTGTAAATCAAATGTAAGGGAATGGGACGCTATGTTACCAAAATGCTTGCTGGCATATCGGAGCGCAGTGCACGACTCTACTTGTCAAACGCCAATTTTTATGTGGACCAGAAGAGAAGCCCGATTACCGTCTGACATTCGACTACCCAGTCCGCAACAGCCACATTCATCGGTGACAGGGTATGTTAGTAACCTCCTTAATTTGCTTCATCAAACACATCGAGCGTCACGTCTTCATCATGGGAACTCCCATGGACGACAGAAAGACTATTACGACAAGAAAGTGTCCGTCCCTACCTTGAAGGCTGGCGACCAAGTATACTTGAACCAGGTACCAACAGCAGGAGTTCCGGTTAAGCTACACCATGAGTGGACAGGGCCGTACATAATATAGCGGGTGATATCGGATGTGACATGTGTTCTCAAAGATCCCAACAACTCTACCAGTCAACCCAAGATAGTACATTTCAATCGACTCAAGGCATTCCGGAGTAAAACTGACCAACCTGTCGGGGTGCCAACCGAAACGCCTAGGGAAGTAGCAGTTTAACCGGAGGTGCCGGCTCCGGGAGACTATGGTGTGGCAACGAAGGCGCAGCCTGATTAGAGGGGGTGTGGTGTAGAGAAGAATCAAAAACGTTTTTGGCGAGCATTCAAAGTTGAATCGTTGTAATAAAGGCTCTCTCTCCCGTTTGCCTTTCAGAGCGCCTTTCCTGCTCAATTACCGGAGGAGAACAAGAACACAACGACATTGGTTAACTGTAACTTCCTTTGTTCCAATTTACCTCGTGTTTATTACCTTTTGTAGAGGCTACGTGTTGTGTAATAGAAATTCGTTCTCAACCCTTGGAGTTCTTCCGTGCTTGCGTGTTACACCATGCACGACCAGTGCGTAATGTGCTCTTTGTTTCGTGCTGCTAGCTGAGTGTGCGCTTCAGCTCCCGTAAGAGTTGCATTTCTTAATTATATGTATATGGCACTTTCAGTTAAAAGGTACACAAATATCCTTAGCATAATAACGTTAGGTAAGTGCGAATTAGCTGCCGACGGAAAGGACGATGCGCCGTCATCATTAGATGTCTTTGTCTAATAATACGACATAACGTGCTCCTAAGAAAGACGCATCGGCAAGCTATGTGCTTGCCGAAGCGGCTGGCGAAGGTATTAATGCACACTTTATGTGACACTGTATTGTAGCACCAACAAATGATTTGGAATTTCCTCCAGACGTGAATTTTGACTTGGAATCCGAGTTATTGGAAAGTGTGAAGTGTAGTGGATCGAATGCCCGTGGGGTTACTCCAAGGTAACACAGTGGGGCAAGTAAATAAATAAATAAATAGTTTATTCTCAAATTCACAGACACACCAAATCAAGAAAAATCAACATATAAACGCAGTTGTGTATCACGACGATGCTTCGGGTTCAATCGTGTGTAGTTGAACCGGTCAAGGCACTATAAGTGCAATGAAACGGTGCATATAGACGGAGAGTATCATATACTTGCATGTGTCGGGAAGAGTTGAAATATGAGTCTAGTCGGCTTGCCAGTATGTAGTTGTGGGCAGTGACTTTATTCAATGACGAGTCACATTCGCCACGTCGCAGTATGTTAAACATACATTTGTGGCTTTTTATAGGGAGAACGCTTGCCAGGCGAAAACCCACTACGTCCTGTAACACTGCCGTAAAGCATGTTGAACATTAATGTTGAACTGGCAAGGCCGCTTGACGGCTGGTTTCATATTCGGTTATCGCAGACAAATGGCTCCTAATTTCTTCTGTTAGTTGGACAGGTACTTTGATCGGGGTCGCCATGATTGTTGAGGTAGCTTGAGGAGGGGAACATCACGAATGGTCGTCTTGTTGTGTGTCCAGGTGAGCAAAAGTTCAAATGTTCTGCTGTCTGCAGTTTTCAGATGTATAACGTATAGGAGTATGAAGATTTGTCCAGTTCTCCGTACTGGACAAGGGTTGCAGTGATTGTAGTTGGGTCATTTTTGGTTTCAACCATGCTCCTTGTAAGTCCTTGTCGGTTGTTACGTTCGTCTTGGGCAAAAACTGTT